TCCATGCATATTCTAAGTACATACAATATATTTATGAACGCAAGTAGGTACAATACATGTTGAAACGTACATAATACGTACATCTATATATGTACAGTGTGAAAGAAAGGATCCACCCTGGTAAAAGTCAATAACTTTTAAACTAATGATCGGATCTTCACTTTCTAGTTCTCAATTTTAATGGTTTGAGGGAATGACCTCTATTATGCTTATTAACAAGTACAAAAACGTACTTTCTCTGACTAAACATATTTTTCTTATACGGATTCAGTTTTCTGAACCCCAAGATATTGGGGAGAGCCGCAGTCTGGGAAGTATGTTCCCCTAAGTTTATTCAAGAGAGCGGTTCAAAGTTTGGACTCACTTAGCGTAAGTTTTATTTTTTGTGTATTTCGCCATTTTACGAAAACTTTTAAGCTCATTGAAAAATTTTGTACACAATTATAAAATTAGTTTATCCAAAGGTAATTCCATATAAAATATCACTTTCAGTGAATATTTATTATTTTATTTAATAATAGGAGAAAAAAGTTTAAATTTTAAGATAATAAATTTTTTACATCATTTTCAGGAATGTAATTTTAAAGTGCAAAATACAAAATTAGAACGAAATCGGTCAAATAGTTCCTGGGAAATCGAACTTTAAAAAGCTGCATTTTATTCTTGTGGCAATGATAACAATAGATAAACAATCTGAACAAAGTTGTTCACTCATTCACAAGTTTATTAATATTATCAATGTTTTGTCTCATGGAAACATTTCAGTTCCTCTTCGTTGCAGTTAGGCACGTGCGTTGGAGTGAGTATTTGACAGACCATGATGGTATCATAAATTGAGTAGCGTTTAATCCATACAGCTGCAGTTGGCTTCTCATTAGCAAGCAAGACCCAAAATTGATCATTTAATATAGAAATCAGCAAACCATATGCTTTCTTCTAATTTACGATCTCGGTTTTTCGATTATGGCTTTAATTTTTCCTCTGAAAATATGGCTTCTATTCATTTACGCCACTTTGGGAAACTAGTGCCACAAAAGAAGACAACACCGAACATCAGTTGCCATTGAAAGAAATTAAAAGCCTGGAGCAATAATGTAGGTAGTTACTTTATTTACGTCGCACTACAGCTGCACAATGGGCTATTGGTGACGATCTGGGAAACATCCCTGAGGATGATCCGAAAACCTGTCATCGCAATTTTAATCCCGAGGGGCCCTATTACCAGCTTCACGGAATCTAATTCCGATCGAAATGAAGCTCTCGTGTCGTCATAAATCCGTGAATGTCAGTTAGGCCGTATTACGAACTCTTGATTCCTCTCGGAACTAAATTCCAGAGCGAAATAGTTACGAATCCGATTCCGGCAGGTTTAAGAGCAAGCGAAATCTAATTTCCAATAAGAGATTTTTTTATTTTAGTGATCAAAATGGCGCTGTTTTCCGACATACAGCTAGCTATTGCTGAAGAGAATGATCGAAATACTATTAAGAGAAAGATCTATCGGCTCAAAAAATTTAAGGTCTTCCAATATCTCGACAACGAATTGAGAAGTCAATTCAGATTGACTAAAAACATTTGTGTCGAACTTTTACACAAGAAAATAAGTCTCTAAAATTTCTTAATTATCAGTTATAACTAGTTTTTATTCAACTTGTAACTTAAGTTTATAAAATTTTGAAACATGTAATTTTGCACTGATATTTATTATTATTTTATTTAGCTTTTTAGTGCCGGTAAGGAATCCTTTATTGGGCCCTATTACCAGCTTCACGGAATCTAATTCCGATCGAAATGAAGCTCTTGTGACGTCATAAATCCGTGAATGTCAGTTAGGCCGTATTACGAATTCTTGATTCCGCTCGGAACTAAATTCCGGGGCGAAATAATTATGAATCCCATTCCGGCAGGTTTAAGAGTAAGCGAAATCTATATTCCGATAAGAGTTTGTTTATTTTAGTGATCAAAATGACGTTGTTTTCTGTCATTACTAACGATTAAAGACTATTACCGATAAAAGCAATCTGAAAAATCAGTTTTGTAGTTTTTCTTAGCATGTAAAGCAAAATTTGATAATTTTAATTTAATTTTATTTAAAATAGGTTAGTTTTATAGCTTTCATAAATATAACTGTATTTCGATACTTAAATTGCGGCTTATTCTGTTTTACGGTTTGAGTTAAAAAGAAGAGCTTTTCGTAATATTCAGAAAGATGACACCTTATTTATTTCATAATTTTATTACCGTCGTCGAACAGCCGACCCAATTTTATGTTTACGACTACTGATGTTCAACTCCGTAGTCTTGTAATTGTAAATCCCTTCCAGAAGACAAGGAGAGTCCTGTATCAAGTATTGAGTGAAATTTGCCTCCATGGAGAACTTTTTGATGGAACTAACCCTCATTTCCGTTACATGGAGAGGAAAACCACGAAAAGCTCCCACGGTTAGCCTGACCGCAAGGAGACTCCTGATCTTCTGAGCCACAATGGCTAGGCCTAATTAATAATAAAAAATGATTGCTTATAAAAAAAAATAATTCCATTGAGATAATGATGAACATTTAGATGAAATCCTATTACCGCCAAGCAATCCGAAAAGTATTTTCGTGGTTTTTCTTTGCGTGTAACGCAAAATTAGGTCACTTTAATTTCAACGTAATCATGGTTGAAATGAATTATTTTTATAACTTTTAAGAACATTGTTTCTCGCCGAAACTTAAATTGCGAGTTACTTTGATTTTTGGGAGTTAAAAATATAAATACAAAAAATATAAAGAGCATCTCGTTATATTCACAAATATAATTGGCTGTCTGTCAAAGATGCTAAAAAGTGATTCATTATATAAAAAAAATTCATTACGATTCCTGAACATTAAGCTGGAACTCCTTAAGCGTTAAGCAATCTGAAAGATATTTTCGTGGTTTCCCTTTACGTGTAACACAAAATATGATTGTTTTCTTTAAAAAAAAATAATAAAATAAAAATATTAAAAAAAAACATTCATGAAGGCAGCAATGTTTAAATATTTACGTAAATTATGAGTTATTTTATCTTTCTTCCATGTTAAAACAAAACAAAATGAAGAGCATTCGATTGAGGGCAATTCATTAGCAGGGTAGATAATCTTTTGCGGACGTTAAGAAATGATTTTGCAGATTTCTTCATAAAAAATGCTACGAAAAATTATTTTGATGAAAATTATTTTTATTTTTAATTCTCATAGGAAAATTTAACAAATTTACGGTTGCGTGGCTTATATTTTTTTTAAGAAAAAATTTGTCATACAAAGCATTTTTAATTATAACTATTTTAAAGCAATAATAGTAAACTAATAAAATTCAAAGGGTTTTAGTTTAGTTTTACTCGTTCTGTTGAATCACATATTTAAAGATTAAAAAATGCTAATATAAGCGTATATACTTCAGTTATAATAGAACCAGACGCTTTAAACTAGTAACTATGGTTGAATAAGCAAATATCCTTCCTTCGGTTTTAATTAACTCAAGTTCTGAAAACCGAAACTATAGTATATAATTGGCAGTAATCTGAATGATTTCTGGTTTTAAAATGTCAATAAACAAGCAAATAAATAACGAGTGATGTATAGACATCTTTAAGCAATATACAAAACAATATATTAGTTTTTAGAAACAAAAAAATTTTAGAATTCAAATTAAATTGCTTTTTAATGATCAACACTGATTAAGCGCAATGCTTTGGTACGGCGGGGATATCAGAAAATAATATATATAAAGATGCGAGCGCCACTTTTTGTGCGTAAAACCGGTCTGTCAAAAGCGTATTGCTTTTCCGAAATCCCCCGGGAAAAGTTAAATCTCCCTATCCCCTATATCAGTCCCTGAGACGCACGCTCAACTAAACACACAAAGAAGCTGAACAGTATGAATTTTTAAGCTTTCTGTTCTAAGTTAATGCGATTTTAGCTCGTATAGAAGAAAAAACAAACATATCGTTGCCAGATTAATAAATTTGAATTATAGAAATTTTATAATTGATCAAAGTCAGTTCCGCCAACAAACTTCAATTTCACCGGAATCGTACGGAATGACGATTTCGATTCCGGATTCCGATTTGCTCATGTTACGGAAAAGTGGGTTCTACGAAATTGGCAATCCGATGAAAGCTAGTTTCCGAGCAGAGTCGTTTCCGAGCGGAATAAATTTCGGTGAGTTGGTAATAGGGCACCTGCTTTTGTAGCGCGACGACCTGCGCGTGCAGTCGAGCACTTCACGGTAGAACAGTTTAATTAATGATTAAATAGTTAACATTTCTTTGAATTAAACAATCCGGAAGTTAAGAAAAAGTATAAATTCATTAACAATGGTCAGTGAACAATACCATTCATAAAAGCACAAGTAATATAAATTGTTGTTGAACTTGTAGTTCATTTACATCGCACTAGAGCTGCACAATGGGCTATAATGGGTCTGGGAAACATCCCTGAGGATGATCCGAAGACATGCCATCACAATTTTGATCCTCTGCAGAGGGGATGGCACCCCAGCTTCGGTAGCCCGACGACCTGCACGCAAAGTCGAGTACTTTACGGTAGAACAGTTTAAAGAGGACCAATATCGCACACCCTCGGTCCCGACGCAGACTAATTCAAGTGGTCACCCATCCACACACTGACCGCAGTCAGTGATGCTTGGCTTCGATGATCTGCTGGAAACCGTGTCTTAACAATCAGTTCACTGCGGGACAAGTAATATCAATACTTGATAATTAAAGTGATTTCCCGTTACAGGCGTCAACAGATGGTGGTTGACTGTTAACGAAAGATGGTGGTTGGCGAAAACTGATTCAGGGGGAGGGAGGAAAAGGATTCGCTTAGCAATCCCGTTTATGGTGGTTATTTCACGTTTGGTGATATAAACTAATTTGACTTTAAAATGTAATTTACTAAGTACCATAATATTTCATATTAAGAGATGTTTTTTAGCAATTATAAAATTAAATTAGAATAAATGGTTGTCTTACCCATAATCATTACATACGGTGAAAGACGGTAGCTCAAACTCATCAGTGTTCTTGACTGTAACTTTCACAACAGTTTCATATCGCCCATAGAGTTGCATAAACTGCCAAGTCTGGACAACAAATCCAACTATGCAAACAAAGAAAAACAAAGTGCGCAATACTTTCACATGAAGGCTGTTTGCAGACACAATCTTCGGAATGCCCGTTATCATTGAATTTTGGAGTAATTTTGATGAGAATTTCTGAAACGACATTTTATCTTTTCTGCTCCGCTTTCGCAAAAAGGGGAAGAATCTAAATTAAAATAACACAAAGTATTTTACATAAATTTTAGTTTGTTTTATGAAAAGAAGTAATATAAATAGCTCAAAATTCAGCATCATAAAATTCAGTGATTTTAATATTTTAGCAATAATGTTCAGCGTAATTAATAAACATTATTACTTTTTATTAATACTTAAGTGTTACACTCAATGATTAAATAAGTTTACTGAATGATTTTCTTAATTGACAAATAACAAATGCAGAATATTATTTATTTATTATCTTTCATACGGTTTATTGGCTCGCAAAAATTTTCTTCCCTAGTTCTTACCCAAAAATATAAGTCTTCTTGCATTTACTGCGCGTACCAGATACTTAATACAGTTTAAGAGAGTTCACCTAATTTTTTCTCTTATTAATATATTTCCTGCAGCGGTTGGAAACTTACTAAAATATTTCAAGCTCTAGTTTCAACTACTTTTGCTTGGTAAAGATAATGACATTTGTCTTCATTATCAATATCTTTATCATCGAGAATATTTTTAAATTGGATCCAAAATGCTTTGTTTCACCTTCAAATTTCTTTTGTTCGATTCTTGGTAACTAAAGTTTACGCCTGCTATAATTTCATGGTGAAATCCTGATAACCGAATCAGCAATCTCAGTTTCACTACTGAAATAAAATTCCATCTCTACTCTAGCAAGAAAAATTTTTACATTATATTCTTCGAAAACAACACGCTCTTGCTAATAATCTTCTTTATTGGATATTTCTCTATCAAACAGTTTCCCATCGCATTTATTTATGGTACTATACAAGTGTTCCACTGATGTTGATTTAAGTTTAACTTTTTCATATGATAGCTCTCAAGCCCAAATTTTTCCTTTAAACTATTATATGTTTTAAGAACGAAATTCTAGTTACCCTATGTTTTCTAATTAAATCAGCCATGTTTACGAAGGCATAAAATCCTTACTGTAATAAAATAAACACTTTAGAATTATTGGTACTTTACAGTTTGCCAGACACAAGTAAATTCTACTATTTTTTTTTTAATTTTTCGTTCATTTAATTGTTATTTAATTTAATTTAATGTTTATATGTTAAAAGAAATAAAAAAATTAATCAGAAAAGTTGGCGGACGTCTTCATTTTTTGGCTACTGGCTAACAGAAAAGTACCGAATAATATTCTTACTCTACAAACTGAGTTAATGATCAAGAATCATGCTGTAAGTTTCCAAAATATTGAGTTTTCAAAGAAATTACCCATTTCTCTTACTCCGAAATATTTTATTTTACAAATTAAAAAAATACTACTTCTAAATCAAAATATAAAATCATGGAATATCTTCCCCAGTATTTAAAAGGGTGCAAAACAACAAAGTAGTTGCAACATGTTAATGCTACCCCATTCTAATGATCAACCTTACAATCAAAACGTAGCAACCAGTATTTGTAAGAGCAATGGTCAAGAAGAAACATTTATTAACCCAATATATTCACCTTATTTCTGAATGTGGCTCTCTATATTATTAGTAGATAGCAGTAAAATAAGAGGCATTTAGTACTTCCTCTATATTATACAAATGCATTGATCTACGTTAATCTGAGCTGCAATGATGTCAGAGGCAGACTGCAAGACTCCTGTTAAATTTTTTTAAGATACTGAGAAATGAAAGTTGTCCACAAATTTTTGAGAGTTCATACATCTTTATTTCTTATTTTCATTTATAAATTTAAATTAATATACAGTAGTTGCCACATTTACTAAATTAGAAGCATTCATAAATATAATAAAAATAAGTATTTATAAAATCAAAATACAGAACCTTTTTCGTAGCATATTTTCTGTCCTATTTTCTCTATGATTTTGGAAGGCAGCAGATACTTAACTTGTATATTAGCAAAATTACCACAAATGAAAATGTTTGAAATCCGTACATTACATCTCCTGTATCTCTTCAAAACCTTTATAATATCATAAAAATAAATATTTATAAAATCAAAATAAAAAACCTTTTTCGTAGCATATTTTTTGTCCTATTTTCTCCATGATTTTGGAAGACTGCAGATACTTAACTTGCATATTAGCAAAATTACCACGAATGAAAATGTTTGAAATCCGTACATTACATCTCCTGTAGCTCTTCAAAACCTTTTGATCATAAAAAAAAAATTCAAAATAAAAAATAATATTTTTAAAAACCACGTTTTTGTAGTGGAGAATAATAATTTTAAAAAAATTTGAAAAACGAAAAACGTGGGGTGCATGAAATACGTAACAGTAATGTTATAGTGTGTGTATGTGTGCTCTTGAGAATATGTGTATGGTATATCTGTAATTGTATCGGAATGTGGATGTGGAATATGTTTGTGTATATGCATATGTATGTGGATGTATATGTGGCTGTGCATGTGTATGAGTAAGAAAATGTGTATATGTGTATATATACTGTTATGTATTTCATGCACCCCACGTTTTTCGTTTTTCAATTTTTTTTTAATTATTATTCTCCACTACAAAAACGTGGTTTTTAAAAATATTATTTTTTATTTTGAATTTTTTTATTTTAAATTATAATTTTTTTAATTTTTATTTAATATTTTTTAAAAGTTATTACTTTTTAATTATTATTCTTTATTATAATCTTTATAGAAAAACAATACCTTTACGACTTTCATTAGTTTTATGCTGATGACAACCAAAACAATCTGGAAATGAATGAGGAAAAACTGGATCCTACCACGTGATTTTTCAGCCAATAAAAATACTCTGACAATAAAAATCTTTTCACCTGACATGTAATACTAATTTGAAATAATGGAATCGACAACAAAAGACAATCTCGAAAAAAAAAAATTTAAATTTTAATTTTATTTTACTTTGTATGTCTTTTTTCTCTTTATTTTCATGCATTGTCATCCAATTCTGAACTATGTGCCAAATTTGAAGTTTGTAGCTAGTCGGGAAGTTAGTTTAAAATCGATTACAAAATTCCACCCGGACAGACATACAAGAAGGCAAGTTTATATAAACGTGGTAAAAATGTTGATTGCTATCAATTACGGGAGAAAAAAATGTGTCTTACTTGTTTAGAACTCTTCTTAAATTTTTAATTGAATAAATCTAGAAAAATTAAATTTTTTACGGAATGCCAGAGGCATTTAATTTGAAAAAATAATGTAATGTATAAATATTGCTTAATGAATAAAGAAAGTAAGAAACGTGAATTTTCTTGTCTTTAAAAGCAAATTATTTCTGACCAAGAATCCCGTATTGCACTTTGTTAAAGAAAACTGCAGTTTGGAATGAAACAATAGGATTCAAAAAAAAAAGAATAAGAATAATTTCGCAAATCCTGAAAAATACTCAATTATCTATTTTCAAAAGTTCTATCCATATTTTATCATAGTTTTTGAATTAGTTTTTAATATCTTTTGTAAAAGCCACGTTATAGAGAATAAAATGGAACTACAGCATTGATGAATTACACGTGTCACTTTTATATTAATATAATATTCAATCAGTAATCTATATGAAATTTTCTGAAAATGTTCAATGCCATGCATTATCATAACAATTTTAGTATCCTTGAATTTCTATATATGTAATGTAATTTAAAAATGAAATTGAAATAATCTGAAATAAGAGAAGTACCATCTTGTGGGGTACTTCTTGCAGTACTTGTGCAGCATTTGTGCAACGGGTGCTACTTTCTGCGAATTCGAATTTGGCACTTTTTAAGTGCTGCTATTCATTATCATGTTTTTTTCACTTTAAAAGTGTGTGGAACTTGAAGATAGAAGTCTCTATTGCTACAAACATTTTTTCGAATCTTAAAACAATCTCAGAGTGTGTTTTGTTTATCCAATGTCAACAACTTTCCGAGAACGTCGGACGTCGAAATGTGTGCGAGGAAACTTTAGCTGTGAAATGCAAAGACGTTGATAAAACTATTGTCGCAAGTGCAAAATTTTTTATTTATATATTAATAAACAATTATATCATGTTAGCGTTAAAAAAATTTGAAAATTAATAACAAATAAACGGAAAATGAAAAAAAAAATGCACTGTGGGGCTACTTTGTGCAAAGTTTCATTAGTTTTTTTTTCGACAGAAAAATGGTCAGACGTTGTAAAAAAAATACCTGGAACGAGAAACTACCGCGATTACACTTTTGAAAAGCTGCAACAATGTTTGCAAGCAGCTGCTGGTGGTATGTCGATTGCAGAAGCTTCTCGGAAGTACAAAATCCTCAGAAATACTATCTCCAATGAAATTCACAAGAAACACGTGAAACGTGCTGGTGAACTATTATTTTTCTTCTACAAAGGTTTTCCAATGAGTTAATCAAACGATTTAACACATAAAAATATATTTTATAGGACATCAAGTGATTTTGACAGAAACTGAAGAGCAAATTCTGTCATGTTCATTCAAGCATGTTATGTTCAAATTTATCAATATTATAAATGTTAATGAATATGTAATAATTATTATTTTCGAAATTTCATCTATTTAAATGTTCAAAAATGTACATGGTTTCCTTTTGTTTAAACTCAAATGTTTTGAAATAAACACTCTTTTTAAGAAAAAATTCTTTATAAAAAATGGTTTTTAAAGGCGGAAAATTATTTTCAAACTAATATCTTTACATATCTTGATGTTTTTGTTATTAAAAATGTCAACAATTAACTTTTTTAACAATTTTATATCATTATTTTACTAAAAACATGATTATTAAACTGAATTCCTCTCGCTGCACAAAGTAGCCCCACTTGGGAGCTACTTTGTACAAGGTATGTTTTGACTTATTATTTGTAAATATTACATACAAATAATGCCAATATTGATCAAATTCACTCGTCTGAGTTCAGTTATGAACATACTATCAATAAATTTTACTAAAGTTGGAATTAACATAGTTTTTTTACATGTCAAAGTTCAAAAACTGCGAAATCCTGCACAAAGTAGCCCCCACATGACGGTAATTGCATTCAATATTTTT